GTGTGTGTGTGTGTGTGAGTGTGTGTGTACGTGCGTGCATGTATGTGCGCGTGTGCGCGCGCGCTTAGTAATGTTTATTGCCTTATCTCGCATTTATTAAGTCGTGTATTCGTTTGGACATATTGTTAATCGCATCGTTAATCGTTTCTGCGTATTGAAGTGTCTAATTGTTTCTTGTTCTAAATTATTCCATTCTTCTTTCGTAGCGAAATGCTTTAAAGATTGAGCATTATGTTTCCTTTTCGTTTTAACATATTCCATAAATGCTCTATAATAGAATTCATGTCTGGACTGTTAGCTGATTACAAGAAAAAATAGCCCGTTTTGTAACACTTTTTCTAAAACACTATAACTTTGTCAAAAAAGTCGTAAAAAAGTGATAAAAAAATGGGTTTATTAGGATATCTATGAGCTTTAAAACTTATAAATTTTATAAAGCATTTCTGGAACTCAATTTTGATTTTCTTAATTATTAAGGAAAATGTTCGAGCTTTAATTTTAGCTTAGGTTCATCTCGATATGATAATTTTTCATATAGTTACCGCTATTGAAAGATATTAAAATTTGAGCTAAAATTTATTGGCCCGGTTTTTTTGTTTGCGCGTAAGTGTAGATCTGAAAATAATTTTTTGTCGAATCATCAAAATAATTTGTTAGAATATTAAACTGATAAGCATTGCTGTAAAACGTTTTGATATTCTAGCAATCATTTTAACTTTTGCACAAAATTATTTCGATTATTGAACAAAAATTATTTTCAGATCTGGATTCAGCAAAATCGTTCTTTCCGTGAATTTGTGTTAATTACGTGAAAAAGGCAGTATTCGGTCCCATTCGAATTCACATCGCTGAGTATCTGCGATGGAAATGCGATTTACGCCTCATGCGTCGAATAAAATTATCGAAAATATATCAATCAGCAAAATACCTGGGTGACGGGATTCTCGCCCGGACGATAGACAACGTTGTGCATCGGCCGTTTGCGACCGACGTAATTCACGCAGACAAACTCGAGAAGACTCGCGTAGATGAAGCACATGCACACGCCGTCCCATACGTTCATGGCAGTCAAGTTCGAAACGACGGGCAGCGTTCCCCGGAAGCCATTCGACGTGGTGAAAAAGTTGAGCATCGTTGTTACACCTAAAATATAATTGAAAATAATAATTTTACTTTTCTGTGTTAATGATTATACTGTGTCCCTTGTGATTCAAGTGCAAAATATTTATAAAAGTTACAAGATTTTAGAAATTAAAAAAATCAAGATTTTTTATTTTTCACTAATTCAAAACCTAAAAATGGAATTTTTCTCTATTAATCATAAAACATCTATTAATTATTGTAAGTAAATCGCTAAAAATAGCAAAATTTTTATCTTAAAACTCTTTCCTCAAAATTATTTTTAAAAATGATGGCTTTAAGATCTCAAACACTATTTATCCGATTAATTAAAAACTAATTTAATAATAAAATTTTTAATAATATATACTTTTTTATTTTAACCCTAGAACCGTAAAAGGGGTACATTTGTACCCCAAACGAATTTTTAAATTAAGCTCCTAAGCTAATAAACGATATTTTCGGCTCGGGACCCATAATTCACTTTTACTTTCTGGGAGTGGAATTAGGCCGGCCGTTGCGTCAGTCAATTGCTAGCTGCCGAATTATAAACATTTAAAATTTGCTTGGGGTACATTTGTACCCTTTTTTTGGTTAGCGTATAAATTTCGCAGGTAAGTCAATTTTGTTTGCTTTGTTAAAAGTAGTATTTTCATGTATAATTATAATTTATAGATTTCAAGTCTTATAAATTAATTTATTCTATAATTCTTGACTTTTATGGGTAAATCAATCAAAATAGTTATATTTATTGCTATAAACGTAATATATCTTTTACGTAATATATGATGTTTATACGTAATACACTACTTTTGTTTATACTCTATCTAGAGAAGTGTAAAAAATATATATAACAGTTTATTATTGTCTTTTTCCCATTTTTCAATTTATGATATTTATGTAACAAAATAATTATATTTTTTAAAAGACTAACACTATAGACGCGCGCCTCGCGCGCGCTATTTAACTGCACTTTTTACTATAATTGACTATAATTATACATCAATCTCAATAACTCAGTACATACAACTGTCAAAAGTCAATGCAATGACAGCCGCTCACGAAGTTAGCGCAGCGAGAGATCAGCGTCGCGGAAAAGAGTATACAATAACTTCGAGAACAACGATACATTTGAGTTCGACTTAACATGTCTTTTTTTAGATAGGAGGATTATAAAAATAAATCTTTTGTTTTTTATAACTTATAACTCAATATGTCTGGCGATGCTGGAAGGTCGGCCAAATTTGTATGAGGTCGATAAAGCAGTCTGCTCAATTCATGACAATATTTGGTTAATATGAAAATTCTACAGTTTATAGGTGCAAATTGAAAGTATGGCACCCTGCGAACAACATA